GGTCAAGTGTGTGTGCGTCAGTCTGCTTGAGTTTGTGTGCGTTTGTGGCCTTCTTCTAGAACCACCTGCGTTGGTTCGTAATCGAGGCACGCGCGGCGAGCATCATCTCCCGTTCAGCTCAAGTGTGTGTGCGTCAGTCTGAGTTTGTCTGCGTTTTTGGCCTTCTAGAACCGTCTGCGTTGGTTCGTAACCGAAGTATATACGTCTCATTCAAAACACGCCGAGTTGGTAGCTCTAGATGTTCATCCAATGAAATTGTAGAACAAATTGACCCACTTAGACATGAGGATCTCGAAAGGATAGTCAGGAAACAAGACTTCCATATATTTCTATACAAAATCTTTCAAATGAGCTTGATTTTGTATGAAATGATACTAGATTCTACCTGATGAAAAATTAGCTTGTTTGATAATTTTGAATCCATTTTTCTGGTAAAAAGAACAATTTGAGTGCAAAACATTAGGAAATTCACCAATATTATCCCTTTTTGAACCCCAGGTCATTCATAACAACAAGAGCGTCTAAAAAGGTTATTTGAATCGATGTAACTACTCGTAATTATGTCTTATCAGCTTATGAGAGGGGGTTATTCATGTGTTCGTAACGCTTTATAAATAGAAAGCTATAAAAGATAGAGCATTATTTTCACCATCGATTAACACCCTCCCACGGTATTCATGGCGAAAACACAGGTTTCCAGGCACGCTCGCTGTACACCAAAAGTGCACACTGAGTGACCCCGGCGGCCTGCCCAGAATGTCCGACGTAATCGGTTGCTAAGATTGGCATCTCAGCACAGACGAAGGACAAGAGTTAATGAGTTGATGTGATATATAGTATACTGTTACTTGCCATTGTAGGTATGCCATGCATACTTCTACACTAACTGCATAGAAGGCCCTAGTTCTAGTAATGTTTCTGGCTTCAGAAGGAAAGTCATTGACATTCGTTTGGAAAAAACTGGGGTCTTTTCAAGGGTGCACAACCCCTTGTATTTTGCTGTAATTTATTCTTTGTTATGGAATTTTATGCCATCAGGTTTTGAAAATGACCCTATCCAGATCAGGTGGGGAGGGTTTTAATTTCTTGAAAGAAGTATATCAAAGTGTGGGAGTGAAAGGTAAATCACTTTTTAATTATTGAACCTGTCTTCCCCCCCCCCTTACACACACACGCCCAGAGTTCAGCGGTAAGATGTTGTATAAATTCTGTTAAACCATTTCAGTTTGCACCGTGTCGTTCATTTGTGTTTGCGGAAAGTGTGAGGGTAAAGTGTTCTTTTTGCCTTGAACCTGGAAATAAAGTCTTACATTTTTTTTCTGTTTTCAGTAAGAGAAACCCTAAAAGAGTTGACCAAGCAGTATGACAAGTCAGAGAATGACCTCAAGGCTCTGCAAAGTGTGGGGCAGGTATGTATTGATTTTAATGTTGGGAAGAATATGGAGTATCTTGCCGTTCTGGCAGAAAATTTTGTTTCATGTTGAGCAAACCACTTGTTTTTACGAGACATTTTTTAAAAACAGAAGTAAACGTGATGAAGTTACATATTGTGTCATTTTTCATTTTACAAGCTTTCAATATTTATTCCTTACCCTGTGCCCTTTAAAACCAAACTTGCTTTTTGTTTTGCAAATTCAGTTTGTGTATCAAAATGTTAATCATCACTTCCCGTTAACTTTTTTACATGTGTATGAATTCCAATGCAATTTTCATTTCCATGTTGATTTTAGCTTTTGTACTATCTAATTTTTTAACATATATATCTTTGAATTTTGCTTTTTTTATTTAAACTGACTGCAGATTTTTGTAATCACACTTTTTGTGTCCCACCAGATTGTTGGAGAAGTCTTGAAACAGCTGACAGAGGACAAATGTAAGTTCTTTGTAAAGATGGGTTTTGTTTCTGAGTGTTGGGTCTTGGCAGTGTATAATTTCTCTGCAGTTACAAATTTATGTACAAACTGATAAATGTTTTTAGGTTGAAGACGATCAGCTTCAGACTAGGTGCTCAGTTTTTATTTTGACCTGAGAGAAACGGGGATTCTTTCTCCTTTTGCTGGGTCCAAGGTTTTTGTGGAATGCGAGGTTGACTGTTGTAAAGTGTTATTTATCACAACATGTTTGCGTAAATTTTGCATCTTTTCAACTTAACCATTGTTACAAAGATGCAATCACTTGTTTATATATGCTATTGTTTTGGGTAACAGGCGCAATGTTGCTGCAGGTTTTGGTCTTTTAAATTTGTAAAGTAACTTTCCCCCAATAGCTCTTCTTTGCTTAATAAATGTCGTTCTGTGTTTTTGTTACAGTTATTGTGAAAGCCACAAATGGTCCTCGCTATGTGGTTGGTTGCCGCAGACAGCTGGACAAGTCCAAACTCAAGTCTGGGACTCGTGTGGCTCTGGACATGACAACACTGACCATCATGAGGTAAGATGTCTATCACTTTTTTATTCCATTTAGTAACAACAGTGTCTGTGGTCAATTTTTAAAATCTTTGTTCTGGAGGAGAGATTTCGTATTTTTGGCGTGTTCGTTTTTATTCTGGGATTTGAGGCTTAGCTCAGTCTGACATTGTGTCCTTGGGAAAGGCACTACTCAAATTTCCCCATTTGCCTTGGTCTTATCGGATATAGATTTTAAATTTGAAAGTCCTGCCTCTTAAATAATTTTACAGTGCTTTTTTCAGTGTTGTAAGGGGCATTAAATCTATTGTACAATTTTGCACATTTTCATTTCTTCATCATCAAATGCCAGATCTGCGACAGACATCAGAGTTCATGGCCTGCCATTCATTCCTATGCTCGGGTGCTCACAAAACAAGCGATATTATCCTGATCTTTCCCCGTCACTATTTCATATCATATTATTCTTTTTCATCAGATATCTGCCTCGTGAAGTGGACCCACTAGTGTACAACATGTCTGTGGAGGACCCGGGTGATGTTTCTTTTAACCAGATTGGAGGTCTGGGAGAGCAGATCAGGGAGCTGAGAGAGGTTTGTGTCTTTTTTTTTTCTCTTTGAGGCTGTCTGAGTAAACTTTTAAGTGTTGGTTGTCGTAATTATGTGGGCAAAGGATGCGCTTACTGTCCACAGTTTAAGACTGGTGAAATGTGTTTGTGTGAATGGCAGTTTGTGTTAGGGAAGGTCATTGTGTTCTTTATTCATACTTTTTTTTTTTTTGGTCTGAGGAGTGTCGAACATGAGTTTTTGTAGGATTTGCATCTGACACAATCATCATATGTTGAGTGCTTTGGATTGTAAAGATTATTTAGAATATTTTATTTTTTAAAATTTGTTCCCCCTCCTCCCCTCTTTTTCTTCTGTCCTTGCACTTGGTCTGTAAAAGAATTGGACCCCTTCTGAAGTAGTTTCTGTAAAGTGTTGTTTAATAGGCTTAGGCATTGACTGAAGTAGATGTCTTTAGACCTAGAGTGACACCCTCTTTATTTATAACTTTTCCATCCTCTTCCCTCCGACAGGTGATTGAGCTCCCCTTGCTGAACCCAGAGCTGTTCCAACGTGTGGGCATCACCCCACCCAAGGGATGTCTGCTCTATGGACCACCTGGTACAGGGAAAACACTTCTGGCTCGAGCTGTGGCCAGCCAACTGGACTGCAACTTCCTCAAGGTGAGAACAGGGCTGTTCATTTGGAGAGTGAATGTTGTGGGAGAAAAGATTGAAACCTTTTTTCAAGGGGTGTGAAGAATTTCTGAATTTTTTATTTCTAAAAATCTATTTATTAAATTTTCATCTTTTGCATGTTGGATGTGAATGCAAATTTGTTTATTGTTTGGTTTTGGGTTTTTTAGTCATCCATAAATTCTTCTGTCCTATCCAACATGCTGGTGGTTGGAGGGCACTAATGATATATCCTACATTATTTTTTCAATGTACTTCTTTTCACTCAAACAAACAAACCTGTCAAACATCTATCCACCTTCTATTGTCTGTATGTTACTTTCGAGTAACACCTCTTATCTTCAGCTTATATTTATGACCTATTTGTATTGCAAGTGCTGTAATCCTTTTACCAAAACTTAACTGAACTCATTCTACCCTTGCAGGTGGTGTCCAGTGCCATTGTGGACAAGTACATCGGAGAGAGTGCTCGGCTCATCAGGGAGATGTTTGCCTTTGCCCGTGACCACGAGCCCTGTATTATATTTATGGATGAGATTGACGCTATAGGTACGGGCTATGCTGTCTGTTGTAAACAGTGATTTTCTTTTAATATGTAATATGTAGTTGACAATTTTGTGTTGTGCAAGTATTTTGCAGAATTTGAGGAAGAAACCCACTTCAGTGTAGGTCTAGATGAAAGGTGGAAATACTGTTTATAATTTTTTAAAAGAAAGTATCTGCTTCCCCCCCCCCCCCCCTCCTCTGAATTCTTTAAATTGTTAGGTTTTAGTTTTTGTCCCCCATCATGTGTCTAGAAGACTTGGTGTTCAATGGAGGAATGAATGGAGGCATCCCTGATGACACATGCAGTAGTTGTTCACCATCTATAGGACAATATATTATATTCTTCATTATTTTTCTCTGTTTTATTGCTGGCAAAGGTGTAGTTGGGGTCTCTTTTCTTTAAAAAATTTGAATTCTTCTTTCATGCTTAACATCATGATTACTCCCTTGTCAGCCTCACAGAGAGTGGAGATCCCAGATGTGCGTAGTAGGTCAAGTAAATTGCTCATGAGGACCTCAACGAGACCTTAGTCTAGTTCCTTCCTTTTGTCACATCATCTTTTTGTTTATTTTCCTTTTTCACTTCTTTCAGGTGGAAGAAGGTTCTCTGAGGGCACGTCAGCAGACAGAGAGATCCAGAGAACTTTGATGGAGGTATGTGATGATGCTAAGTGGCATGATGAACTTTGAAATGCACCTTTAATTCATGTTTTTAGTTTCTCATCTCTTCCTTCTCTCCTTTTGGTTTAATTAATTTATTATAATAGTCTTGCTGGTATCTTTCTTATTTCAAAGGCAGAATGACATGTCTCCCTAGAAACAGTAGTTTCCCAAGTGATAAAGTTACATAAATCGGGATCACAATTCCATTGTCAATGGCAGGATGACATATTTACATTTCTGCATAACCATGTTTAGAAGCAGTTGTTTCTCTGGGTAAGTGCAGTCTAAAGCTTTTGGCATTTTTTTCTCAAAATTCTGAAATATACAGTTAAGTCAATCTACCTTGGGACGACTGATCCCTTGCCAGGTGGATGGTTGATTTAAAAAATGCACAGTGGTGGTTGGTTATTTCTTATTCTTGACTGTTTTGCTACTGTTCCTGTATAATTTTAGTCCTAAGGGTACATGAAAAAAGTAAATCCTTTGCTCTTTCCTTTCAATTCTTCTACATAAATTATCAATGGAAGAGATATAATCCTAGTCTCTTCTAAATTATGATTGTATACTAATACCTTATGCACTTTTTGTACAGATCAGTGCCCCATGGTCCTGCTTTTCCTTAACAAAAATACAATTCTTTAAATATAATGTGCTTGTCCTTAACCCTAACACTTTTTTTTTGTTGTAATCAGTTGTTGAATCAGATGGATGGCTTTGATGCCTTAGGCCAAGTGAAAATGATTATGGCCACCAACCGACCAGACACGCTGGATCCAGCCTTGTTGCGACCCGGACGTCTTGACAGGAAAATTGGTTGGTACATGTTTGTCATGTTGGAATATCACCTGTACTCAGATCTCTTTGAATTTGTTCCCTACAGGGGGTTGCATTTTGCAGCCTAACAAATTCTTTATCTTTTATTCTCTTGAGTATTTAGACTCGCCCAAACCTTTTTTTTTTTTTTTAGTGCTCATATTTCTTTTTTCCCTTTATACTGTTTGATATGAAATTAATTTACCTTGATTATAATGAGTAATACAATAGAGTTTTTCTTGAAAAGTACATGAGATATATTTTTCTGATTACTGTCAGAAAGGAAAGAAAAAAAATGACCATCAATATGGTTTGGTCAGAGCAAGGAAATCAGTGTAGTGGTGAAAGAGTTGAATTTTTAGTTCTAAGTTTGATTATAATTTTTCCTTTTGCCTACCCCTTGTGTCATACAATGCTTCATCCAAGTCTTGTCAATGATATATAGTAGATGCTATAGTGGAAGTGTTTTGATTTCATAGACCTTGCTCTGATTTTGTGTCAGGTTACATCAGTAATATGCTTTTTGTAAGTGTCTCTTTATATTGAAAGATATTATGTATGAGCATAGAGAGTACCCATGTTGAGCTTGCTTTTGATCAGCTGAGGGTCTCAAATGATGGCATCGTCTAGCAAATCATTTCAACCTGCACCTTATTTCATAAGTTATATTTGTATTTCCAGTGTTGTTTTTCCATCTTGTATATTTCTATTTTTTGTGTCTATATAGAATGATTCTTGTGATGTCTTCCAACTGTATCAAGAAAGAGGAACTTACAGGATTGCCTTTTCTTTTCCAGAAATCTCCCTACCAAATGAACAAGCTAGACTGGAAATTTTAAAGATTCACGCTAACCCCATAGCCAAGCATGGAGAAATTGGTGAGTTCAGCTTAAGTGTTACTTTCGGGTTTTATTTCTGAAATGTAATAATTTCTTATTTACTACTTGATGTAAGACTGCCATTCTCCATTTTGAAAAGTGACGTATGACAAAGTATTACACTGAGCTGTGGATATTTAATTTGTCCAAGATTTTGAAAGTGTTCTTTTTTTCATTGATATAAAAATTCGTGTAAAGATTTATTTTATCTGAAATTTGTATAAGAATGTAAATTATATGCATTATCTCTGAAAGTCCACTAATATTTCTTTGATATAGAGTACTTTGAAATCAGTTCTTATCATGCCCAGTGTGCAAAAGTAATGCTACCCCCCCACGGGGCGGTGCCACTGACTGAAGTGTCTTTGGGCCTTTCCGTAAGGGGGGACATTTCTCGTTCTAGCACAGTTGAATTTTAAAGCGGCTGATTCATCAATGCCACGCTCATAACTGTGCTTGATCTACAACAGGGAAATGCTGCTTTTTCTTTCCTAATCCTTACTATTGTCATTTTTCCTCTACTTCTGTTTTATGTTTGTCTCACTCTTGTGACCCACTATTTCCTGGGTGCCTTGATAGTCAAAGCAGACTTTGTGCTGTTGAGGCTAGAGAGGTGAGCAGAGTATGTCTGATTCCCTGTAAGGACTTCTCTGTTGACATCCACCCTTTGGCGCTCATACTCATATGACCTTATGCGGTTGTGAGCGCCGAAAAACCTCTACTAAAAGTAAAAAGTAATGCTATTTTGATGCTTTTCATTGAGGTTTCAATTTAAAACCTTGGCTTTTCACTATTTCTTTTTGTAGACTTTCTTTTTCGAATGGGCCACTCTAACATTACATGGGTTTAGTTTGTTAATTGTCATTAGGGCTCACAGGAAAATAAATTTGTATCACTTTTTTTTTCACACCTTCAGATTGGGAAGCTGTGGTGAAACTGTCAGAGGACTTCAATGGTGCTGATTTGAGGAATGTCTGCACAGAAGCTGGTAAGTATGGTGGAACAAGTGTTAAGAGACGGTAGTAGCGGATGGGGAATGAAAGTTCAGCTCTTTCAGTTTTTCCTCTTTGAGTGGAGCAAATTGTAGTTGGGAAGGCAATGTTCAATGGTAAATATATATTGAGAAAAGAAATTACCCCTCGATGTGTTGTGTTTTGGAGAGATGGGCCAGTGGGATATGTCCATTCTGCATTTAGTTTTTGTCTTGGTCCTGCTTTTTTTCACCAATGCATTCAGGCTTTCTCCTGTGCTTATTGTGTGCTATATATAGATGTTATGCCATGCTTGTGAAGGCTTTGTTACATTTTACAAAGTGGGTGGATGACGGGCACTGGTGGGGCATGCTCCTTTTTTTATCAAACATTTATCATCTTTTCCTCCCCTCCTATTTTTCTTTGTATGCTACTCTCTTGTATCACTTCTAATCTGCGGCACTTATATTACAAATCTGTCTTGCAAGTTCCATAAAATCCTTACTAAAAGTTGCTTTACAACACTATTCAGCTTTTGACCGTCTTCTCTTTCAGGTATGTTTGCCATCCGTGCTGAACGTGACTACGTGGTGGAGGAAGATTTCATGAAGGCTGTCAGGAAAGTTTCAGACAACAAGAAACTGGAGAGCAAGCTGGACTACAAACCTATTTAAAGTGTAAGCCTCTTACAACCATCTAGGGTTTGTCATGCCTGATTCGATTGACTTTTCATGAGGAATGTTTGATGTTTATGAGCATGTGTTTCTAGACTTATCTGTTGTGTAGTTAACACAATGATGTCAAATGAGCTTTTTTACATAAAGTGTAATGAAAGGAATGTTTAGCTATTCATCATTTGCAAAATCATTTTGAAAGGCATTGGTAATGTTCAGCTTTTGACATCTATGATGAAAGAAGGAGAGTTTTGCCATACCTGGTATATGTTTGCAAACTAAAAAAGTGTAACAGAAGATGAGATTGTTTTTCCCCATTTGTATTTATCTTGCTGGAGAAGATTTCTCAACTCTACAAGTTATTTGTCAGAATTCTAGATTTGAATAGCGATACACTGAGCGCTCATTGCATTATTCAACTTGAAGATTTATTTTCAATAATAGATTTCTGAATCAAATATAGATGGCAGTTTGTGAAATATGTGCAGAAACATTTTTTTGCTCCATTCTACAAATTTCAGTCATTGTAATTTGTATAAAATGAATGTTGTATGTTATGTGTGTATGGATGAATTAGTTTGGTGCGTGGCAATTGTGAATGTGAATATGTTTGAAATAAAATACAATCTCTTCCACAATTTTGTTTTTTCTTTTCATTCAAGTGATTTTTCACAATAATATGAATTTCCTAATTGCTTTATATTTTAATTAAGAACTGACAACTTGTGCCGTGGAAATTACAATTTGGAGAAATAAGTCTATTGAATGGTTATTGTAGGAAAAGGCTGAAGTAGACCAATGTTGGAAGAGGGAAATATAAGGACTGATCTTCAGCCTCCTGTATTTAGTCAGAGTTAGACTGCCATGTGGAAATGGGGAAATAAGTTTGTGAGCACATTGTCAAACTAGAACTAGAAAATTGATTTCGATAAGAAGACTGATCATAGGCCTGTATCTTGAAGGAGTAAAGGTAGAGAAAGCTGAAATTTGGCACTAAGCTTAATCTTTTTCTATGTAGTGGCCTCCCACAGTTACACATTTTTGCCATCAGTGTATGACCTTGAAAAGAGGTAATCAGTTCCATATGCGGCATGTATATTCGTAAAAATATCCTGCTGTTGCTTGCCTTGCAAGAACAAAAACTTCATTACTGCCCTGTGCTCAATTTTCTTTATTTGTATGTTGAAACTGGAGAACAACATACCCCCATTCACTCGCAGTGCACTGGTGGTAAAACCAGTAACTGGAAATTCCCCAAAATTGACCTGCATTCTTGGAAGGAAGATAATTGTTGGCTTTCACCCCAAATTTCAGCCTTCTACCTTTATTCCTTCATGGTCAGGTAAAAAAAACTTTTGGTATGCCCCTCATACACATGCTGGTATTTCAGATTTGTCTGAATGGTAGGGACTCTAGCTGGAGACACACACACACACAAGGAGAACTTAACTTTGTTCATGTTGTCTGGGGGCCAGGAGAATAACTTCAGATATGTTGTGACATACCTTAGATTTATTTTATTTATTTGTCCCTGAGATGTTTATTAATTTTCATCTTCCTAGAGTCAAAATTGTATCATGACTTTTGAAATAGATACTGCATGATTCTGGGAAAAAATGACTAGTCTTTGCATGATCTACTTTCAGAAAAGAAAGGCATGTGGGGCTTGTCAATGTCGAACACTTTTGATTTTGGGGCTCTCGTGGTCAAGAGGTTATTGTGTTCGTCTATAATTCAACAGGTCCCGGGTTCGAATATAGACAGCGACTGATAATATTCTTCACTAAATGTTCTCCTTTCACCTTTTTTCCTGCTCTCTAACAATGTTCTGTCTTCTGCTTTCGTCTCAATTTTCTGCCCCCCTACCCCTCACCTCGTTTTCCTCCTCTGGGCTCCCGACTCTTTCTGCTGCCATTCTACTGCTACTCCTTGACTCCTTACTGCTGTCTTTTAGCCACACCCCTGATCTTATGGTAGGTAAGATCTAACTCCTAGCCTTCTCGGATATGGGCGAAAAATCTAGCAGGTCCGGTGTGCAAGTTGCACACGTAAAAAATCCCTTGGTGACTTGGTGGTCCAAAATCGATAGGAGTAGGCACTGGCTGCCCCTGGGCAAAATTCAAAATTTCCTGCAAATTGAAAATGTTTAATGTGCACTCATTTGACTTGATGCACTTTAGAGTGCCGTAAACACACACACATAAAAAGACCCCTAAAAAATCTTGATTTTTTAAAGGAAAAAATTGTAATTCTGGTTGACTTTCTTAGCTAACTGGTTTTACTTAGTGAAGCAGCTTGTGGTTTCTTCCTTTCGTTGACATATCTCACTTGAAAATAACATTGTTAAGTTAGATTATGTAAATAGGTGTCTGTGGTATATTGGTTAGGCACTTTGCCGTCACATGCTAAGAATTTTTTTCAACAATCTCAGACTTTCTTCTGGAACATTATTCCCTGTCGGTTGGCCCTGAGAGTGAGGCATAGTTGATGAAGCCTGCTTTCTTAACAATCTAAATTTGTTTTAAAAAATAAGATTGTGCAAAAGAGCAGAGTATTTCACTCAGTCCTTTGACAGAGCTTTTGCTATGAATGTGACTGAAATTGTTCTTTTCTGTTTTTTCAAAAGCATGCACGGGGGCTCTCGTGGCCTAGAGGTTAAGGTGTTGGCCTCTCATTCAAAGGTCCTGGGTTCGAATCCGGTTAGCAACCGAAACATTTTCTGCTCTAAAATTGTCTCCTTTCAAGATCTACACCTAGCCTTCTTGGACAAGGGCAAAAAATCTTGGAGGGCCCATGTGCAAGTTGCGCACGTCAAAAGACCCCTTGGTGGTATAAAATTGATAAGAGTAGGCTTCCTACCAACTGAAAAGGATGAATGTGTCTTGCGCGCTCATATGACCTTATGCTGTCGTGAGCACCTTAAAACACTTACCAAACAAAAAGCATGTAGTGGCCTTCAAGAGGGCAAAGGCGAGGTGACAGGAACAATATGGGAATAGGAGAGAAAATAAAACTTCAAAGAAACATTCTCCATTTGTCATTTAAAAAATTTGACAACTCTCGAAATAAGATTTTAAAAGATAATTTATTCATGCAACATTATATAAAATGTAAAACTGATGTCAGAGTTGTGAATAATTATGTGCATAGCCCTATTAGAGTGCACTGCCCTCATTTGCATAGGTAAAGAACAGGAAACTGTACAATTAACATCAGGAGTTTTTGTAAAGACTACACAGACACTAGATCGAATATAAACTATGCATCTGACACAGAGCCCTTGTAGAGCCCGGGCTAATTATTATTTATAAATATAGCGCATCCATTTGGAGGGAAAGTAAGTCTGAAGCAAGGTAAAACACAGGTCCAAAACTTGCGTGTGTGAGGACGAGTGAACAGTAAATTGCAATGGACAGAAGGAACAGGTGGTGGAAACACACACACCATCATAAATTATAGATTAATCCTAGTTCTGTAGAGCGGCAGCAGTCGCAGTTAAGTAGAATCACAGTCACAGAGACACAACATCAGCCCACATCGACTGGGTTTCCAAGTTAAAAACATTTCAATTTCATCAATATTTCTTCTACAAATTGTAACAAAGTACAAAAAGAAAGAGGGGAGGAAAGTCCTACTCCAGATAGTTTTGAGCGACAGGGAATATGATGAGCTATTAAATTAATTAATTTGACTGTATCTCTTCCACCAGCGCACTGCGCCAGTAAGTAACCTGCTGTCTCCATGTTGATGTCGAAAGAAAGCACATGGAGGCCTTGGTTTCATCCCTTCGTTGTCAAGTTTCTCTTTTCCTACAGTTTTCTTCTGTTGTTTTCATTCATTTGAAAACAAATTCAGAATTAGGAAAACGGTGCTATCGTGGGAGGTTTATGTTGGTTGATACTCCCATTTTTTGTTTTCATACATTTAGTTTAGAATCTAATAAGCTAAACAGAGAAGGATTTGAGATTGTGATGTCCTTGTGAGGAATGGAATATTGGATGCACATCCCAAATTCAGTTACCAGAATTTTGAATTCATCGCGAGTTAGATTAAAAATATGGATGGGTACTGTGAAAGGAAATTATTTTTCTTAGTTCGAGGTCAATGCTTAATGTTAGGGCAAATGATTACTTCATTTTATTACATTGAGATGATAGACTATCTACATTGAAACAGTTGCCAACAAAGAAAACCATCAACACATTTTGTCTGTCCTAGTAGGTCGACAAGGAGGGTAAATGGTTAACTCACTTAGCAACACTTTCTTATAAGAGTTTGTGATGACAGGCTTCTCTGACAACTTTCACTTTCATACAAAAGAACATTCTTTTTCATCTCTCACTCTTTCTCGTTCTTGTAACCTATCAACACCACCCTGTATCTTTAATTCTCTCCAGAAGAGAGATTTTAAAAAATTACATTTTTTCTCAACCCTGCATTTCTCTGAAGAGAAAAGAAAGCTCAGAGAAATACACGATCGATTAAATGTACATGATTAAAAAACTAACAGGAGATTTACGGCTGCGAGGTAAGATCTCTGCTGATGTCGAAAATAAAAAGCTGCAGAGTTTCAGGTTTCCTGCCTTAATCCCCAGTATCTCACAACCTTGAAGTGTCCAGACTGGCAACCTCGATGCACACAGACACAGCAATAAATACTCCAACAGAGCCGAACAGGAGCAGTCAGAGTGCTTTCACAACCACACTGTGCTTTCCACATCACATGGTTTATTTTGTTGAAAAACCTTGCAGTTCAGGCAGAATCCTTCACTCTAGGTGGGTGCAAAGTCCAAATATGTTCAAACTCCAAACTCATTCAGATTCAAAACGTCCCTCACGACTTTCTTCATAGTTCTGTTCCACTTCACTCACTCCACTTTCACCTCACCACACCACGGCTGTCAGCACTCCGACACTTTTGCTTGGCCTATCACTCGAGGATACAGCTGGGAATGACAAAGACAAAACAACTGAAAAGTCAGTCACATCCATAGATATGACATAATCATGTAGAGTTTTTATTTTTGAGAACTTGTACGTTGTCAAGTTGTAGTTCATGGTGACCCATAATCATTTCATCTCAACAGAAGTACAGTGGAGTCTTCTTAAACCAAAGATGGTGAATCTGCAAACAGCATCAGTAAATTGAAAGAAAATAAAATCCCCATCTTTTTTTTCTATACTTTGAGCAACAGCTCTAAGCCAGAGTAAATTTGATTGTTCAACAGATTTCAGAATATGCACTCCACTGTTCTAAAATGAAGTAGAAAGAGTAGACCCCCACAGTTTGCCTATCAATCACAATGAAAGAATACTTTAAAGAAATCAAAAAAGTCTACTTGGATATTTGTCTTCCCAATTAGAGCCATAAAATCGAAATAGACAACATGTTTCATAGTAGGGATTACAAAAGAAAGCGTGAAAAAAGTCCACTCAGGGTTCATAAATTCTTAATTGTTGATTGTGATGTGAATGAAGTAACAACAACATAGAGCTCTTTCTTTGACTTTTAACATCATAACATATAACAGTATTGAGAAATATCGAATAAATAGCACTAATAATAATAATGATGATGATAATAATAATAAGCCTACATAAACATACAAGCCAAAGGAGACTTCAAAGGCGTCCGTTATACTTTCACTTTCAGTTAGTTATTCAACGTAACACATTTTTTATACAAAGATTTTTTTGAAAACTCAACAAGAAAATTATTTAGAGAGAATACTATCAAACTTACCAACTTCTGTCTAAATATGAAGGATTTTTGCCACCTTAAAACTAAAGGTCTTGATTTAAAAAAATATATAACTCCTTTGAGCTTCACATGAAGGGAAAACCATTCATATTTTATCAATCTATTACTCTAATCCAGCTCAATGCTCAGATTAAAAGCTCTGAATCATCCATCAACAGAGTTCAAGAACAATGCTTGACTCTCTAGGTTGCCTTACCTTGGCCTACTAGAGACAAGACCTTAATTCTTACATTCCAATTCTCTTACTTTTTAAAATCCAGCCTGTGTTGAAAGGGGCATAAAACAAATACAGTAACAAGCAGAGCAAGAAACCAAGTTACCCCTAAGAGGTTGCGAGGAATGTAGCCCTCCTTTCCATAGAGCCTGGCCCACCACCACTCCTTCTCTTTCTCATCTCCCTTCCGCAGCACCGTCAAACTGGCCCCTATGACAAAGCTCAGCTCGTCGACGTTGGTGGCCTGGTAGTCAAAGACAGCGTAGACCTCGCCACTGTTGGTGATGCCCAGCTTTTCTTGGATACCTATGATTGAAAAACGTTCACATGTTTGTAGCTATGAGAACCAAAAGTACCTACATCTCCTGAATACAAGTAGGCTATTTGGGAAAAGTCAAAAAAAATACAACAAATTAGGACCAGCATAATGGTAACCCCCATCCAAGCAATAGAAAAAGAAATGCAAGATGAATTAGTTCTTCAGAAACACATTCTCACCTTAGCCAGATGCCCCCATTATTCTCTATTAAACATAAGACAGAACACAGACTGACAGTCTAAAAGTAAAGGTAGCTGGAAGCTCAGCTCACAGAATCTTTAACAGTGCATCAGTGTGAATGTGTTTCTACTGCTAGCATATACAATTGAACTGCACTGAGCTTGTAAACTATAGATACTTGATAAATATAAAAAGAACTCCCAAACACCATTTTAACTTGTTACTGTATGGACAAACCGGCTCAATCAAACAGTAAGCAGCTGACATGGGGGGAAAAAGTCTGGGGGGAAGCTAGAACATTGCAGCAAAAGCTAGAAAAAAATAATTAATTAAACTATCAAATACTTACAAATAGATCTAATCACAGTAATTCATATCCTCTTATTGTTTCATCTTAGAGTTGAAATATTGTACTTACTCACTCACATTCCCATAGTCAATGACTGTTTGATATGAACAAAATCATTGACATGTCACTCAAAAAAGGGACAGAGAACCAAAACAAATTTTAAAAAAAAAAAAAAAAAAATCAAGGTAAAAAAAGAGTGGAGGCGAGCAGAACAAAAGCGTGGACAACTCACTGTAGAGGTAATCTGAGCAGCTGTCGTAGCCATCCTCCTCCTCCTCGCACTTGTCGGCCGCAGTCTCCTGGTCGGAGATGGTGGTGGCGAACACACAGGCGCCGTGCTCCACCAGGAAACGCACCATAGGGAGGTTGTTGCACGAGGCGGCACAGTGTAGCGGGGTCCTGGGGGGGAGTGGGCAAAAGTCAGGGTAAGGATAGAGCTCTTCAGTCTATTCATAATATTAGAAGAAGGTAATGTGTTTGCTTACCATCCTTTTCTACTATCGAACTGATTTTTAAGCCAATAATAAACTGCTATGTGCAAAAAGGCTTCTCTCAAATAAGGGTAAGCACTACAGAAATGGAATCTGTGGTTACATATTACAGATGTCCTACCAACCCATTGATAAGCAAGTTTATAATGTTCATCAAAAACTGATAGGTAAAGTCTTGTTCATACTGAGCATTTGATAAAAAATTGAACTATTTTAAGGTCGTACAAAATCAAAGCATGAACATAATTATGTATATGTTTATACCATAGTTCTTACATCCCCAATCTGGCCAAAAAACAAACACATTATGTTCACCATGATTCTTTCAATATCAACAAAATGAATTTATTCAATGTCTTTTTAGGGTTAAGAAATAAAAATAATTGGCTATTGAATTTACAGACACACCCACATTACACATGAAATCTCATATCCTACATACACTGCAGCTGATTGAACAGTCTTTGTTACCAGGCTACTCAGACTCTTCATTCATAGACAGGAATACACTATGGCAAGAAATGACAGATTTGTACAAGAGATTTTTACTGACCAGCCATCGCTATCTGGCGAGTTCACATCGCAGCCAAACTCCACTAGGAACTTGACGATCTCGTAGTGGCCCGCACAGATGGCGTTGTGTAATGCCGTAATGCCTTCATCATTGGCGGTGCTCACATCATCCACCTGTAGACACAACATAGAGATGTATTAAATCACTAAGACATGAGAACGTGCTGCTAATTTTTAAATAAAATGTATGCTTCCCAGGAAGTCGAGAAAGAGTAATCAGCTCAGAAATCCTTTTTAGATAAGAACAACAACACTTCCCCCCCCGCCAAAACCCCAGCTCCTGAGGATTTTGAACTCTCAAAACAGAAGACCGGCACCAAGAGTAATCTCCACATAAAACAAATGATATTCTAAATAAATAAAAGTGTTAGAGAACAGCTGGGATGCTGTTTCCCTCTCGACCCACGTTGGTCCTGACATTCAAGGAACAAGTATCAGCCCACAGTCTGTGTACTAAATAACCTAATTAATGTCTATGGCGCTGAAACTTCGACAATTAGAGAACAGTATCTAACTCCCTAGAAAGCATTGGACACCCATCCCAGTGATAAGAAAACAGGCCAACGTAAAAATCAGTAGTTTTTCAGGCTGAGGAATACCCAGCCTGCAACCCCTGAGATTTAGGAAGCACCTGTAATGCAATCTTACCTGCACTGCCACTTTTCTGACAAGCTCCAGCTCCCCTTCCAACGAGGCGTCCAGCAACAGGGCCAGAGGATCAAAGCTGACCCGATTGGTTGAACGCCGAACTCCGTCTTTCTTCAAATTACTTTTGGTCCTCCTCTTGACTACCTCGGTAGCTTTATTAGAAGGAACAGGTTGGCTCTCTTTCTTCTCAACTTGCTGCGCTGTGGGGACTTTCGGCTCTGCCTTATTGTCTTTTGTGGAGTTGTGCTCAGGTTTGCTGTTGCCATCAGGATGTGTTTGTGACTCTGCTTTGTTTGACGATAATGATGACGATGACTGCACAGTGTCTGTTTTGGCGTTGGGGACAACAGTCTTGCTGTCCTGCTGCTGTTCGCCTGTCTGCTGCTGTCTCTGCTGTTCGAGCTCTTGCCGCTCCTGAAGGGCTTTGTTCAGGTCCTCATTCTCGCTGTCCGAATGTCGCCGCCGGATGTGCTTCGGTGTGTTCAGCTTGTAACTCCCTGAGGAAAAAAACAAACACTTTTGATAAAGCATAAAGCATAATGTGTCCTGGTGGCTTCCTATCGAAATAGCACTTCAAAAAGCATTCGTGTTGTTTTAGTTTTAGTAAGCATTTTAGGGAACTTGCAACACGAAAAGGTTATATAGAGGCTGAAGATTACAAGTTTTACTAAAGATTAACATACAAAAAAAAAGGAAGAGGGATAAGAATGATAAATGTTTGAGTGGACAGAAGGAGCAAACTGCACCAGAGCATCTGCCAACCACTCATAATTCGTACTGGGTTGAGTAGGAGAGAAACATAACAGTCACCTTTACCAAGTAAAATGCATAAAACAAACAGGATTGCAAATAATCATTTTTGATTTGTATTATGGTGAATTGACACGATAACAACAACATTCTGCTATAGAGCAGAGAAGTAATAGAATGTAACACTGAAATGAAGTAGAACCAGAAAACTGAGGTGAGGCAATAACACCACAAACACTGACATGGTACTGCAGGAGTTGTCACAGAGGAAAACATCAAACACAAACAGGAATTTTCTATAAATTGCACTCTTCACTGACCTTTGTCCGAGGCGATATCTGGATAGTTGGGAGACGCCACAGCGCCAAACTGAGGGTGACCTTCACCCCCCGGTCCAACGTCAGCAGCGGCAGGCATACCAGGAGGTGTGTGTCCATCGACACGATCTCCCGCCTGCGCATCTCGGCCAGACAGCGCGTCCTGGTTGCGGTACAGCAGGTTCAGATTACGCTGATACTTCTCCATGGCCGCACTGCCCAGCCGGCCCATGTAGGTGTTGGCGATCTGGTTCTTGGACGCATAGCGATAGGTGGGAGCCGGTTTCTGGTTCAGGTGAGGGGCGTGTTGTTGGGGAGGGGTGGAGCCTCCTCCTTGTGATGTGGGCGGGGCTACGGTGGGTGAGCGGGAGGAGCTATTCGAGTCGTGATTGACAGGTTTTGACGATGATGACAAGTCTGTTTGGCTGGGGGACGAGGGAGGGACGTTGGAATTGCTGTTGTTGGCCGTGTGGTGATTGTTGGGCCCTGCGACATTCACCTGTCTGTGTGCTTGTTGTGCGGGCTGCGGTGGATGGGCTGCGGATGAGGAGGGGTGTGACGGTCGACCCGAAGGTCCTGTTTTCTGGTTCAGCTTTTCTATCATGGCCGACACAGGTCCGATTGATGACGTGTTTACCTGGTTGGAGGTCAAATTGGAATAAATCGGCTCAAATTTTCAACTAAATTCCAACTGAGTATAAGAGGAACACATCTGTACCATGGAGGTTATAAATTGTTGGGAAAATAGACAACGACATCTAGTGCAAGTCTGACAATGCATCAAAATAAAACAAGGGACCTTAACTATTCTAAATAGATTTAAATATACAATGTATGTGAAACTTATTTTTGCGAGTGAAGAGAAGCACACCAACACACACAATAGTAGTCACTTAATGTAGGGGGAAGTAAGGAAAAGTAAAACAGACAGATAGACACAAAAAGATGAAAAGAAAAGGAGAACCTACCAGTAGCACCCTCCAACAACCCGAATGTAAAACTTAAAATTTCTGAAGTGGACTGAATAGATAGGAAAGAAAAATAACAATTCTGAGCAGTGTATCACATCAAGACAAGCCCTGTAGGTGTGGAAGAAAGGATGTGTGAGAGAGTATATGTGTGGATGCTTGTGTGTGTATATGTATGTGTATATGCGAGTGTGTGTGTGTTTGTATGTATGTGTGAATGCATATGTGTGTGTATGTATGTGTATATGTGTGTGTGTGAGTGTGTGTGTGTGTGTGTGTGTGTGTGTGAGTGTGTGTGTGTGTGTGTGTGTGTGTGTGTGTGTGTGTGTGTGTGTGTGTGTGTGTGTGTGTGTGTGTGTGTTTGTATGTGTGTGGTGAATCACCAAACCAAAGTGCCAATGCCTGGAAAATAAAGATTAATCTTATCTTATCTTATACTATCTCATCTCACATAACCTTACCTAACCAATCTTATCATATATTATCTTAAATCTTATCTGTCTGTGTCTCACCTCATGATCCTTGTCAAGGACCTGTATCCCCCCACTAGAGTCGGAACCCTCGCTGGAGGCCGGAGAACTCTGGCCACTGCCCGCCTGTCTCTCCTCCTCATTGATGCTGATCACAGGATAGGACGACGACTGGCCAGGCTGTGTTGGCGATAAGTCAGGCACCCTAGGGGAGTTGTTATTTCCCCCTCCACCCCTACGAGAGTCTGTGAGTCTCGCGTGAGACGAATGTTCGTTAGCAGACGAGGGAACTCCCATAATACTTTGCTTATCCGAAGGTTTCACAGTTCGATTCTGCTGCTGTTGCTGCTGCTGTTGTAGTAGGAGCTGTTGCTGTAGCAGCTGCTGTTGCTGCTGTAGTTGCTGCTGGTGCTGTTGTTTTGAGGCAGGCCCCAAAGGTTTGACTGCCACAGGCGGTGCTGGTTTTTGCCCGTTAGGCTGCTTGTTCCCGCCTGTACTGCTAATAGAGGCATCACCACTCATAGATTTGGAGTAATTAAAATTCGCCTTCCCACTTTCATTGTTATTATTGTTCCCGCCGACCACCGCTGGGTGGTTTTGTGACATCTTGTTGTGGGTGTTGGCGGGTAGAACGGTAGGTAGCGGGTACTCCTCTATCAGCTGATTGTTGTTGTTCATTTCCACCTGCTTCTGCTGGCTGTCACTGGCCCGGCCCGGAGGAACGACAAACTTGACGTGTGACGGCAACGTCTGGTATTTCGGGTCCTGTTTGAGGAAGCCGCCAGTTTTCGTGAACGAATCGTCTTTGACGACATCCTGTGGCGCGTACTGAATGTACGGCTCTACAGTGGCCACGTTCGGCCCACCCACTCCAACGCCGTGATGGTGGGAGTGGGACCCTGGTGCTGCCGGAACTGCCTGTTTTTTCGAAGTGTTCTGATTGGCTGACTGCTGCTCCTGGCTCCGCCTCTTTTTGAGGCGCTGCTGCAGTTCGTGAATCCGAGCGTCCATGCGGGTCACCTCCTCCCTGCGCTGACTCAGCAATTTTTCCTTGGCTGCAATAGCCTGAGTCTGCTGCTCATTCAGCTTGTTCCGGATCTAAAATTAAATAAATAATTGAATAAATAAACACATGTAGATACTGACTTTTGAAGTTTGAAAAAAACAAAACAACAAACACTCACATAACTTAACACATTATCATAGCATACTGCACACCTATTTTCGAGCTAACAGTTACATATTGAACAAAACAGAACTATAATGAGCAAGTTCATCTTGGAAGAATGATTGAAGATGTCTAATGACACAAGTGATCATTTGATTAGTCAGTCTTTCCCTTGATGCTCAAGCACGCTTTGAGAAAAAACATCATTTGCATGATTAACAATTCTCAAAAGTACAAAAAAGCACTGAAGCCATCCCTCTATCCTTTCATAACATTTGGTAATACACCAAGCACTAAAGCTATCTCTTCTCTCTCTTGTTGTCCTTACGTACAGAAGTACATGTGCAAACTAGCAAGAAAACGATATGCTTTCTCCTTCCTCATCATGTATATTAGTAGTACAACAGACATTGAAACATTACCACCCTACACTTCCTTGTCTCCCCTCTCTTCCATTATAAAACATACAAGTAACAAACAACAACTGACCAACAGCTCATTCCTGAGTTTCTCCAGCTCTAGTGCGGCGGCTGTCTTGTTGTTGCCCCCGCCGTGAGCGCTGCTGTTGCGCAGCTCCTGAAGCTGTCTGGTCAGCTGATCCACGCGGGCCACGGCCATAGCTAGTTCCTTCTCCTTCTCATTGAACACAGCCCGTACAGCCTCCAACTCGCTTGCTGTGATTGCCGGGAAAGAAGGAAAATGACAGTCATAAAACAAAATGAATAGACACTCTTTCTGTCTTACATAAAAGGATATATTATTTCAAAGAGGCTTCATCAGGGCATTATGAAAACGAATAGCCATCTCAGTGATGGCACAATGTACATAATTTAGTATCCTGCTGTTTGTGCATTCGAGCAAAGAGCAGCAAATCAACAAAATGATTCAGACAAGGTTAGAAGAGAGCAAGACAGATTGTTTTTTGAGTGGGGGTGGGGTTAAAGTAAGGGTTATTTAAGTGATTGTGTTGTGTGCGTGTGCGTGTGTGTGTGTGTGTGTGTGTGTGTATGTGAGTGCGGGTGTGCAAACTCTGTGCGTGTCTGTGTATGTGTGTGCTGGTCGTTAGTACAGGTGAATGTCTTGGCTAAGTAATCATTAGAGCATGTTCGTCTGTAAGCAAGAACAATTATTATGAGTGACAAGGACATCCAGTTCCCCCTTGGACTCACTGAGCTGTCCGTTGTTGTGCCTGTACTGCTCAGCCTGCCCCCGGAGCGCCCTCAGCTTGCGGAGCTTCATCTCCTGGTTCTCCACGCGCTCCGTGGCACGGCGGAGCTGCTCATTGTGAGCCACGCGCTGCGCGTGCAGGGACTCGTGCTGGCGGAGGTACTTGAGGCGCTGCTCTTTGGCCACCAGATACTTTGCTTATCCGAAGGTTTCACAGTTCGATTCTGCTGCTGTTGCTGCTGCTGTTGTAGTAGGAGCTGTTGCTGTAGCAGCTGCTGTTGCTGCTGTAGTTGCTGCTGGTGCTGTTGTTTTGAGGCAGGCCCCAAAGGTTTGACTGCCACAGGCGGTGCTGGTTTTTGC